AAATCACTTTCTTTTTACCACAATGCAGTCAAGAGGACAGGAAGGTTGCCTTACAAAACAATGTGAAGATCGTGGAGGCAGAACCACTACTTGGCATTGAACAACTGGAGTGGCTTTGCTTCCCTCCAGATCATCTGCAAATTGATATTATTGTGGGTCATGGTGTTAAACTTGGTAAACAAGCACAAGTCATAAAAAAATCTAAAAAGTGCAAATGGCTTCAAGTGGTGCACACAGACCCTGAAGAACTCGGGATGTTTAAAAACTATTCCAACCCAATTTCAAAGGGTGAAGAAAAGCACAAGACTGAAGTAGAACTGTGTAAAATGGCAGATCATGTTGTAGGAGTTGGACCCAAGTTGAGTGAGGCCTTCCGCTCATATCTACGTAGCTGTAGAAAAGATGACACTGTTCTTGACTTCACTCCTGGAACATTTGAAGAGTTTGCGGCTGTAAAGCAGGTTCCTAGTGAAAGGCAACAATGCAGTGTCTTGGTATTTGGTCGTGGAGATGTAGAAGATTTTGAATTAAAAGGGTTTGACATAGCCGGGAAAGCGATTGCTGCATTAGAAGATACTCGTCTTGTGTTTGTTGGAGCTCCAGATGGAAAACACGAAGAAATAGCAAAACGGTTGACTGAATGTGGTGTTCCTGAAAGGCGCTTGAGAGTAAGAGGATTTGTTCAAGAGCGAGAGAGTTTGAAGGACTTGTTCCAAGAAGTGGATCTTGTAATCATGCCTTCAAGAACAGAAGGCTTTGGATTGACAGGACTTGAGGCCCTGTCAGCTGGTCTCCCTGTGCTCATCAGCAGCAACTCTGGTTTTGGGGAAGCTCTGTGTAGTGTACCTTTTGGTTCAACATATGTTGTTAACTCAGATGAACCCACATATTGGACCTCAGCTATTAGGAAAATATGGGCCAAGGATAGAAAAAGTCGACTGGAGGAAGCAAAAATGTTGCGTGATTCCTTTGACAAAAAGTACAACTGGGCCAGACAGATAAAAGATCTTATTGAGAAGATGATCAGTTGGGTTCATGGTATGAACTTCAATTTGATTGACAGTTGCATTTCATCATGTATTTATATTTAACAGTTAATGAATGAGGCTGAGTATCTTATGAAGAATTATGGAGATCGAGGAGGGTGTTATCCGTCGAGGCCGTAGGCCGAGGTGGATAACACCCTCCGAGATCTCCATAATTCTTCATATGATACGAAAGCCGAATTCAATAACTGTTTTATTATTCGTTCAAAATAATTCCTAGTTTAAAAACATAGCTAAAACATACTTACCTCCATCGATCCATCGATGTTCAGTTCATCTGCGACAGTGTACGTTTAGGTTTGTCCAGGCCTGCAAATATTCTCCAAACAGCAGATGTCACCCATCGAGTTGTCTTCTTGCTGTTCTTGCCATGTTTTTAGCTTTTTTTTCGCCTAGTTCTTACTCTTGAAATGAGTGAAATGTCCGCCATTTTTTTCAAGTTCACAACCAAAACAACTCAACCTCGTCCCCAGGTCTTCTCGGTTAACGGTGCCTTAACCTGGGAAAACGCTGCATTTTTGACGTCATTTCCTCGTTAAAGTCAAAATTCTTCCAAATTTGGTCATCAGTAACTGGTTATGGTGAATTAAACGTGTGCTTTTAGCCAATCAGAATCGGGGAAATATTTTGAATGAATAATAATGGACATTAAGTTGCACAATATCAAGTACTGAAAATTATTATTATTATTATTATTATTATTATTATTATTATTATTATTATTATTATTATTAATTGGTAGCATCAAGGTATTAAGTTCATGAGAAGGATGGCTGGTTGCCATCTGTATGTCACAAACACCTTTCCTTGAGCTCCCTATTACAGAGGAAATAAATTAGGTCATGAACTCTGAAAAGAAGTGAATAACAAACAAACAAAACGGAACCAAAAATCAACTGCTGAGATTTTTTTGTCCTAAAAATATCATTAAAAAATTAAAATAAAAGATGGCTAGTATTAAGTTTGGTAATCATGACCCATCTAATCTTTTGTACACTTCATCCCCAGCTCATTGGCGTGATTATTTCATACATTTGCCAGTTAACAAAGGCAGCCAAGTTATTGTTATCTACTCCTTTATTTAAACAGATGATTCTTTAAATCATCAGAGGTATTCAGAAACCAAATGCAGTATAGGTTCTCAGTGGATGGAGGGCATTACTGAAGACATTGAAGGTAGCCTTATAATATTTATTATTGTAATGCTTGTTTTGACTGAATGGTGTTTCTGGTGAAAAAGTGTTCTGTGGGGGGATTATAAAAAGGGCCACTTACATGTAAGTTAAGCCTGCAGATCAATTGAAGAATATTTCAAAGTTTGGTTGCCAAGGACATATTTTACAGGCAGGCTATCAGATATTACGCGATGGTGCGATTTTGCACAGTTGACCTAGAATCGCATCTGATCGCACAATTCATAAAAAATCACAAAATTCATTTAAAAAATGCTAAATTCAAGCAAAGTAAACAATAAATTCTAACTTTAATTAAACATTTTCCCAATCATAATGTTATTTAATCATAATGTTATTTAAGATCGTTTTCATTGTCATGCAACAAAAAATAAAATTGGAAACCGTCCAGTGGAAGAAGCCAAGAAAATGAAATGTTATAAAAGACTAATATATAAACAATTTGTCCAAGTCCCGGATCTTTGTGGCCAACAGTTTCTGAGTTATTTGCCGAAACATTTCACACACCTAGAGCTTTGTATGGAGACGCCATACTGGTGCACCATTTTGGTGCACCAATATGGCCGCCAGAAATCAACAAAACCATCTGGGGTTCACTTTTTCTATAAAAGCTCTTTCTTTTCACTTGAGAACTAGCTCTAGCATACGTGTGCATAAACATATCTTCTAATGCTTGAAATGGTTATACTGCTGAAAATTAAGAGTAGAGACCTTTTTTTCAATGAGACAGCATTCCTATTTTGTTGTCACGCACCGTGAAAACTCGAAAGTTCAAATTGCTGTATTTTCGAAATGAAACATGCTACGGGAATGGAAACTGGTACAAGGATTTACTCTTTGTTTATCTTCAACCTAGTGTAAATAAGAATTCGTAAAACCTCGCCATTTTGACATTACAATTTGATGACGTAAAGTTCTGTGAAAACCATCTATTTTTTCTTTTATTTGTTTTTTTTCTGGGTCAAGACACTTGGACAAATTTATTTATTTTGTTTTAAAATAGATGTTTTCTTATTCTTTTACATTGAATTTGCCTGTTAAACAACATTAAAGTGATTTTTTTCCTTTGAAACCTGGTAAAACAATAATGTTAATTAGCCCTGAAAAAATTTGTCATGGACTACTGAACAGGGCTTTTTTTTATAGCTCTGTCTAATCATAGATCGATGTCTATGGGTGACAAAATTATTGAGACATTGTACTCAAATAGGGTAACTTCAGAGCAAAACAATTCACACCCCACCCCGCTTCGCCTCCATTCAAAGTTGAGGTTTTTAGCATTTTCTACAGGTAGCCTTTTGAAGTTGGTAAGACTTTGTCATAGCTTGTATGCGGTTTCTTACACGTGCACATGTGTACTGGCATACATCATGGACTTGCTTGCTGATTAAAAAGGCTTTTTGACTTTTCTATACTGAGTGTTCTTGAATGTGACAATATCCTGATCCGAAACTACAACAGACTTCAGAAAGTCCCTTCAGGCTAAAGTGTCTCAACTAATTTTGTAGGTATGCGTTAATAGAATTCACACGGTTTGCTGCCAATATTTAGTACAGCGCATTGTCTACCCGATCTATCTGTATTCTACTGAGGTTTATCTTTAATGTACTAGTGTTGTCTTACACCTGATAAGACCTTTTGCAAGTAAACATGTTTGCATTATCCAAATGAAACAAAACTGAGTTATATTTTTTTGGGTGTAAAATATGTATGTTTAATTGGAATTTTGATGGTATAAACTCCACTTAATCAGCAAAAAACTTGTAAGAGTGTCCATGCTGCACAGCAATGATCCATTCAAACTGCTGAAATTATGAAAAAAGCTGGGGGGGGATTAAATCTTGCCTGTTCTCTAAAATAACTCATTGTGATTTACAGAAAAGTATTTTTTATTAAATGCTTTTATGTCCCATGAAAATAATCAATACAATTTGCCGCAGTGTCCACCTATCGAACTACTGAAAATGTAAAAACAACTATCTTTTTTTCCAGCTCAGAACATGCTTCCATCCTTACAAAATTTGCGATGTGATGCAGACCAGGTTCGCAACAAAACCATCCTACCATCTAACCTGAGAACAGTTACAGCGAAGAAAGGATTCTTAGTTTCTGATAACCAAGCATCTGGGAACTGTTTGTTCTATGCACTGTCAGAGCAACTGAAAAGTGTTAAAGGAATCCAAATCTCACACAAAGAACTTAGAAGCACTTTGGTCCAGTTTCTCAGAGAGAACGCTAATCTGGTAAGGCGATGATGTAGTCCCGTAATAGTATGTTTAACTTCATCATGCTGGGGGAAAAAATGGCAGAGTCCTTTAGTGTCTCCTATAAAACCCAAGACTATAAAGCCAATTTGATGATATCCTGAGCCATACCATGTTATGATTTGGGAACTTTGTTGATTTGTACCTGTAAGGGGGAAGGGGTGTACTGCAAAAAAGAGACAATGTCCAGATGTTAGATTCCCGAGGACTGGCATCACTGAAATAGGGAAAGTGTGTTAGAGCATCTGGTTTAACTTAATACAGTGGCGGATCCAGGGGAGGGCCGGGGGGCCCGCCCCCTTATTTTCAGACGAAACTAAAACATTTTGAGACTGGGCCCCCCCATTATCTAAGGATCATGGATAACCCCCCCCCTCCCGCCCCCCAGCCCTTATCTCAAGGTCTGGATCCAGCACTGCAATATATCAATATATCATTAGGAAGAATTTCTCAAATAAGGTAATCACTTGAGAATGTGTGCTCTCTTTTGCACCGTACATGAAAGCTTTTCTTTTGAAAGACCACCAATCATTAAAGTGAAAAAGTATTTTCGGAGGTTAGTTAATATAGTTTGCTGTACCTCTTAGTATATCATTTTTTGCAGCACTCTGACCTGTTGTTGTCATCAGTTAACTCAAAACTCACTCCATTTGTATTCTGATTCATCAGGTAAAGGCTTGAAATTCACTTGCTTGAATGTTGTTGTTGTTGTTGTTGCTTTTAGCATGATGGAACATCCTTATTCAACTTTGTTTCTGGCTATCCGTCATGGCGTGAATATTTACAAAGCATGGCGAAAGACAGTACCTGGGGTGATCACCTAGTTCTGTTTGCTGCAGCAAATCACTTTGAAACTGCCATCCGTATTATCAGCAGCCTTGATCGTGAAATAGTTGTCCATCCAGAACACGCAGTTGCTGACCCAACCCCCCTTGTGTTGGGACACATTCATGAGTTACACTATGTTAGCCTTCAGCCCAGAAAAGGTACAATACTAGTCTCTTCCCTGTCGCAATCAGCCAGGTTTGTTTTACTCGTAGAAAATGTGCTGCAGATATCAGCCCTGCACTGCGGTGTGGTGTTTTGTGGTCTTTGCATGGATTCTCTTACTACAAATTATCCTAATGAGTTTCTTAATAGTGTAATCGCCTTTGTTAATGTGGAGAAAATTATTTCCTTCTGAATTTTTAATTGCCCTTCCTCACTTCAAATATCCTAGCTATACTCATAGGAGTAGATCCTATTCAGCCGGATATTTTTCAGATTTTCAGACGCAACAAAGTGTGACCTGTTTAGCTTAATAGTTGTGATTGAGAAGAAGTGATTGTGATGTCGAACAGGCGAGTTTGAAGCAGTTCACAGTTAAACATCCACGCTTTATACTGAGTGACAGGAATCGTAAGCTAATATTGGCTTTGCGATTTTACACCAAGAGATGATTATTATAATAAGAAGAGTTTTATTCATGGCATCTTACCCTTTGTAAAGTACCAGTTTTAAGGCGCTCGGCCCCTCGATCTTTCTCGAGTGATGCGTACCAAATGCTGCATACCGTAAAGGAAACGAAAAGGTATTCAAAGATTTTTAAAAGAGATTCTATTTCCAGGAGTGGCGGACTGAAATGTCCATTACTCAGAACGTGTCCAAGAATAATTTTTTTATTTTTTGTGAAAGTTAGCGGTTTCCGTTCAGAATATTCACAGTGTAGCTCAATGGTGCTGTGAGAACCATCTACTTATCAATCCCGATAAAACTAAACTCCTTTTCCTCGGTACCAGACAGATGTTAAGCAGGTTACCAGAAGACCCTAGAGTGGTATTCTTAGGTAAAACACTGAAGCCAACAGACTCTGCCAAGGACTTGGAAGTCTTTCTTGACCCCCATCTGACCTACGATCACCATATTTCATGTGTAGTATCATCTTGTTTCGCAAAGCTTTGCCAAATAAATAGAGTCAAAAGGAGCTTCGACAAGGAAACACTAGAGTTGTTAATAACATCATTAGTCTTTAGCAAGATGCTTTACTGCTCATCTGTATGGTCTAATACTACACTCCAGAATATAAACAGATTACAATCTATTCAGAATTTTGCCAGCAAGATCGTAACAAACTCTAGGAAGTTTTACCACGTAACACCTTTGCTTCGAGAGCTAAACTGGTTTCCTGTTAAAGAACAATTATTCTATAGAGACTCCGTTTTGACCTTTAAATGTCAGAACGATCTTGCGCCTCAATACTTAACGAGCAAGTTTACCAAGCGCTCAAATATACATACTCGTAACACTCGTACACGGAACTCTTTGTAGATTCCGCTATACAGAACGGCTATAGGCCAGCGCACATTTTCCTACAGAGGGGCCTACATATGGAATAACTTGCATAATGAACTTAGGCAAAGTGCCTCATTGGCATCTTTCAAGCGCGCCCTGAAAGACACACTATTGAGGCAGACATTTCCTTCATAAGCTTTAGATTTTAGTAGAATACCATCATAAATTGTGATTTCGAGTTTTTATTGTCATTTTTGCTTTTATAAATTGGAAATAGTTTGTAAATAGTTCCTGAAAAACCTCACGAGGATGTTACTATTAAAGTTATTATTATTATTATTATTAATATTCGCATGTCACTTTCATGACTCCATTTCTATGGACGTAGGCACTTTCATGATTTACAGTTTTGTATTGTATTATTTCTAGGTGATCATACGTTATCTAAGATTATGTCAGTTGTGAAAGGCTCATTATTGACCTTCTAACCATATTGTTCAAAGTACAAAGTAAAACGACTGTGATAGAGAATGCTTTTTTATCGACTGACAGACGGTTCTCCCACCTCAGTGAATAGAACTGTGAGGATCATGTATCCTTTGTTCTAATGGCCGTTGTTTATTATTTTTTATTTTGCCAGATGAGTGTTTATTTCAAACGAATAAGAGGGGTAAGGAAGGGTTCATGATGGAGAACGACGAAGTCAGAACAAAACCAAGGAGGAGCATTGAAGATCTCAAGGCTGTTAGATCCACAGGTATGAGTTCATGATATGCACCTTAACCACAACCCTTCTATTATCAACCCCCCATCCCCACCCCCCAAAAAGAAGGAATTGTACCACTCCAAATCAGTGATAGATCAGTACCCTTTAAGGGTACGAATCTCGTCTCCAGAGGCTGTTTTGCTACCGAGGCAGGTAGACCACGAATTCAAAGATTCGCGTGACAGTTGATTTTGGCGCTAGTGCGCTAACGATTTAGGTCAGGGACTTGAGTTTGTCAAACCACGAGATGAACTCTTGTGTTGACATTCCTTTCTCGTTGCTGACGTCTTTCTCATTGCTCGCGCCTCAGAGTTATGAAACACAAGTATGCTGCAACTGGAAGAACTTTCATTGATTTGGACTTTTCGAAAACAAAAGTTTGACTTGGCCTATGAAATGCTCAGGAATATGACCACATTAGAATAAAGTAATGCTGGGACGATATCTCGCTAATTACAGTGCTGGAGTGAAATTGAGGTCAGGATATTTCCATGCTTTTTAAAATTTTTGGATTGGACTCAAAATAGAATCACGACTTATTTCTCAGTGTGTCATATTTCCCTAATCATGCGCCCTCCATTACAAACTAACAGGTTAAATACTTGATAACGTTCAAGCAGCGTGTATGAATATTCATTTTTTAGATTCGTCATACCCAAACGACATTTTCGAGAGGATCCGTCAGCTGTATAGAACTCGTGAACAACGCCTTCTGCCTGTACCTTGGTGTGAAGATTTCAGCTTTCAGTTGAATGATATTTTTACAAGACTAAAAATCTCGGGCAAAGAAAAGACCCAAGGAGTACTTACTGACGAGATAACCAATATGACTGCTATCTTTAAGGCGCACGCAAAATGTCAAAGCCCGCGAACAATCTTGATAGAGGGAGATCCTGGCATGGGAAAAACCACATACTGTCAAAAGCTGGCGTATGATTGGGCAACTAAGAACGACGAATGGGATCCATCTTTTCCAGAGATTGAAGTGCTACTGCTTCTCAAATGTAATGAAATTCAATCCAACATCTGGGAGGCTATCGATGATCAAATTTTACCCGAGGAAATGGAAGATCAAGCTAAGGAATGTTTCTTTAAATTCATTCGCGAAAATCAGTCGAAAGTTCTTTTAGTTCTCGATGGATTGGACGAAGTGGATCCTAGTAACCTCAAATTCCTCTTCAGCCTTATTCAAGGTAAAGAACTTTCAGGTTGCTACATTGTTGTGACATCTCGTCATGAGGCTGGAAGTAAAGTAAGGAGGTACTGTGACACTCTGTGGGAAATTGAAGGATTTACCAAGAAAGATGCAGAAAGCTTTATTCTTAAATACTTTAAAAACATCAATAAAGAGCACTTAGCCTGGAAACTTATAGAACGCATATGGGATGTGCCCTTTCTATTTGAGTCACAACAGGATGGAGACCTGAGTGAACTGACAAAAAATCCCTTAAACACTGCCTTACTGTGTGTTATATGTGAGGATTTTGAGGGCGTGTTTCCAACGAGCAGAACTGAATTGTACACGGAGATTGTTCTTTGTGTTTTAAGAAGATATGAACAAAAGCAAGGTTTAGCAAGCAAGAATGAAGACCTGATGACTGTTTACAAAAAAGAATTAATAGATCTTGGAAGAATGGCATTAGAATCTCTTCTAAAAGGAGAGTTGTATTTTGAAGAACATAAATGTGACGGTGGCCTCATTGTCTTATCCAAGTTCGGATTCCTTTCACTTCAGGCTGGTGGCAGTAAGAGGAAAGTTGTTGTGCGTTATGCCTTTCTTCATAAGAGTTTTCAAGAGTTCTTTTCTGGTTTCTATCTTGCTTACAAACTGATTGAGGGTGAAATTGAGTGCGAATCATTGGTGACTGACCAAAGATATGAGAACGAACTATATCAAGTCTTTTTATTCATGATCGGAATTTTAGTTTCAACAAGTGAGAAAACCGCAGAGTCTCTCGTAACATATATGGCTAGAAATATCACAAGTCTTCGGTCTGCGAGAGACATTTCAGAGCGTGTCACATTTTCATTAGGTTGTTTATCAAAGCACGAAAGTTTAGTTTGCACCTTAGGGGAGCACCTTGATATTTCTTATTTGAAATTGGAGACTGCAATTTGGAAATATGATGTTGTGTCTCTTTCCAAGGCCCTTTCAGTTAACTCCTCCTTAACTCATTTGGATTTGAGTTATAACAGTATTGGTGATTCTGGAGCTGCGTCTCTTTCTCAGGCTCTTGCAGTCAACTCCTCCTTAACTAATTTGTATTTGCATGAAAACAGTATTGGCTATTCTGGAGCTGAGTCTCTTTCTCAGGCTCTTGCAGTCAACTCCTCCTTAACTAATTTGAATTTGAAATTCAACAGTATTGGCTATTCTGGAGCTGAGTCTCTTTCCCAGGCTCTTTCAGTCAACTCCTCCTTAACTAATTTGGATTTGAGTTGGAACAGTATTGGTGATTCTGGAGCTGCGTCTCTTTCTCAGGCTCTTGCAGTCAACTCCTCCTTAACTAATTTGATTTTGCCTGGAAACAGTATTGACTATGCTGGAGCTGTGTCTCTTTCTCAGGCTCTTGCAGTCAACTCCTCCCTAACTAATTTGTATTTGAGTTGGAACAGTATTGGCTATTCTGGAGCTGCGTCTCTTTCCCAGGCTCTTGCAGTCAACTCCTCCTTAAGTAATTTGGATTTGAGTGGGAACGGTATTGGTGATTCTGGAGCTGCGTCTCTTTCCCAGGCCCTTGAAGTCAACTTCACCTTAACTAATTTAGATTTGAGTGCGAACAGATTTGGCTATTCTGGAGCTGCGTCTCTTTCCCAGGCTCTTGCAGTCAACTCCTCCTTAACTAATCTGGATTTGAGTGGGAACAGTATTGGCAATTCTGGAGCTGCATCTCTTTCCCAGGCTCTTGAAGTCAACTCCTCCTTAACTAATTTGGATTTGAGTGCGAACGGTTTTGGCAATTCAGCAGCTGCGTCTCTTTCGCAAGGTCTTGCAGTCAACTCCTCCTTAACTAATTTGTATTTGAGTGGAAACGGTATTGGCAATTCTGGAGCTGCGTCTCTTTCCCAGGCTCTTGAAGTTAACTCCTCCTTAACTAATTTAGATTTGAGTGCGAACGGGTTTGGCTATTCTGGAGCTGCGTCTCTTTCCCAGGCTCTTACAGTCAACTCCTCCTTAACTAATTTGGTTTTGAGTGAGAACAGTATTGGTGATTCTGGAGTTGCGTCTCTTTCCCAGGCTCTTGCAGTGAACTCCTCCTTAACTAATTTGGATTTAAGTGAGAACAGTATTGGTGATTCTGGAGCTGCGTCCCTTTTCCAGGCTCTTGCAGTCAACTCCTCCTTAACTAATTTGGATTTGCGCGGGAACAGCATTGGCGATTCTGTGGCTACTGCTCTATCCCATGTGAGCACGGTTAATACAACGGTGCACGTTGTTCTTGTTGATGATGATGAGGAGGAGGAGGAGGAAGAGGAAGAGGGAGACAAGAACAAGGAGAAGCATATAAACTGGTAATTTTAATGGACAATTGTTATAGAATAAAATGATAATCCTCATATTTAGAAAAGTTGTTGAGTGTTAAAGGAAAGTCAAACGGGGCATTTTAGGGTCCTATGCATTTGAAGAAATTTTTTGTTTGCGCTCTAATCTAAGAAGTAATGATATAATTTCTGCTTAAAGTCGAGGTCTGAAAACTTTTGTGGATTTTATAAATGAATGTTGAACGGAAAAACCGTCATGTCTGGTGACACTGGTACTTCAATAGCTGATTTGAAAACATTTGACACTCCTTGATATTTCTTTACCGAGTATCACCCTGTCATGGATTTTAAAAGTCTGGTCTGAAAACGGGTGAAGAAAATGATTTTTTGGGGTTTGAAATAGGGTCAGGATTTGGAGAACCGGGCGGAACCCCCCCCCAAGAATTCCCAGGGGTGCCCCCCCCCCCCGACCCGGAGCCTGTATCCTAAGTTGATATTTCTTGTCTGGTGTTCATACTGTTCATAGGTTGCTGAAGTGTCTGTTGAGGTTTAACATCCAGGGTTCTTCCTTCACTAACGGTTTTAATTTGTGACGCATTCATTGAATTTAGGTTCCCTTGAAAGAAACAGAATGCACCCAGTGTGAACACAAACCAACCTATAGACTTCTTCATCGAAGACAGCACATACATGGCGCCTTACCAATTCAGAGCGGAGAAAGAATCAATTTAATCATCATATGGATGCGGTCCTCTGCAGTGCGTAGCAAGCTGCGTCCTATGTGCAACAGGGTACCCAGGCTGGTGCCATCTTTTAGGTGATCTGGTGATGGGTTTACTGTTAGCCCTGTGTCAGTCTGTGCTGCTCTGTAACGTCATCAAATGCCATTTTCCTTACTTGAAAGCCCCTACGATGCATTAAGGCGTTCCAAAAATTGTTCAAAAAACTGTAATTATTACTGTGGACCCTAGAGAGTTTACTCGTGAATTAAGGTTTATTTAGAGAAAGAAACATGCGCTTATTGTTCTCTCCCCTTTTAAGCCTGCTTCTTGTCAACTCGCTCTGTTCTTTGCTTAACTCGCCTTAACGTTCTTGAAAAGCGGTACAAACATACATTTTATTTCAACTCGAAGTACCAGAGTAGCTCTATTGAGTTAATATCTTAGAGGAAAAAAAAATAAATGAATGAATGAATCATAATTAATAACTAAAATTATGAAATCTAATGGGTTATTACAATACATAATTAAGACTCTAAAATACTATAAGGTCATTTTTTCTGGCTGTCCTAAAATCATCCCATCCCCTAAAATCATTTGTTGATTCTATTGTTCTAATTCTTTCTGAGAACAAGTTCAAAATTTTCGCAGCTTGGTAACAAATAGACTTAAGTCGGCCATAACTTGTGATTGTTGGTCAACATATACCTAGATTGCTTTGCAGGGCACGCGGAATACACAACTCGTTACTTTTGCTTGCAGAAGATTGATATGATTAACTACAGTGGTACATGTAAGCGTGCTAACTCTTTGACGCTTTTAAAAAAATCAGTGCGAAATGAAATTGGCGCTTATTGCAAGGAGGGTGCTTAATCGATAGAGGCGCTCATGAAGTTTTCCTTGAACGAAGTGTAACTTTGTTTCGGCTAAAGGTAATATTAAAAGCCTTTCATTTGCTAAATCAGTAGTTCAGTAATCAAGCGTACCGTAGTCCATGATTTGAAGAATTATTTGAGAGTGTTTGATAACAGATCAAAGCATTTTCTGTTTAGTGATCATTTTATTAAGTCCCATAACTATTTCTCTTGGCAGCATATGGATATTGTAAGGAGAAAGTTGATGTTGGTCACTATTGGGACTCAGATTGATTGGCACTCAAAGGGCTAACTCTCAAATGTATTGGTATGCGTACATGTTTATAAATTATCGATTACCTCATCATCCATCGAGATCATCCTCTACAATTATATACGGATCTTCGCATTCCCCTTGTATCCCTACAATCAGTTACTAATCTGCTCCTGCTACTATTTAAGAAAGTGACGGAGGGGCCCTTATTCGAGGGGGAGGGGGTGGTGGGCGCTTGTATGATATTATGGTCTGAGGGGAGGTCGCTTATTCGAGGATGCGCGCTTATCATAAGAGAAAATAAGGTAACCGTTCAATCTGAAACGTGTGATGGTGGTGTCACCATTTTGCTATTTTATCCGCTTGTCCTGTTGATAAGAACACAATAAGCCAACTAGCGCGTAAGACAGTTACACAGATAATTTAAGTTGGAGGGGGGGGGGGGG